ACATTTTGAGGGGGAGAAATGTGAGATTAATTAAGAAAGATACTTCCCCATACTTCAGATAATGCAATGCATACTATGCATTGAAGGTAAACGTGATCTATAAAAGATGAGTGTGATCCTTGAGGGAGTAAAACGGTCATAATAACGATACCCCTAAAGTAAAGAAATAGCTAAATTCCTGGACCTTTTATAGTTTCGATAGGAAGATAGCATATTCGGCTAGTATTCATACTGGACGAGTCTCAAAGTTATTAAGGCGGTGCTTAAAGCACCATTCGAGTTTTGACAGATTAAACCCAAAATAAGAAATTTGAAGATACACCATCTTTAAAGAAGATGGAGTAATCTGGGGGAGCATGGTATGTAGATACCTAAAGCTTGAATAGAAGTGGGATTACATATCCACTACAGTGTTTTGGAGCAACAAATTACTTAATACATGTTGATGTTGTATGACATACTTAAAGAAGATGAATAAGTAAACAAGGATCTTGTGATACAGGAGGCTATAGAACAATTGCCTTTTGGCAATGAAGAGTAATAATAGCCCCATATGAAAGAAGTGCCATGAGGCCCCAGAAAGTCTCAAAGAATAAGAAAATCAGATATTTCTGGTGACTAAGAAGTAAAAGTTAAGAAAGAAATTCAAATAGAGAGTGATTCCACCTCATTTGAAGAAGCCATGAGAGGCGTTCATTCGTCTAAATGGCAAGAAGCAAAGGAACATGAAATGAAATCAATAAATAGCAACGATGTTTGGGACTTAGAAGAAATTCCTAATGGAGCCAAAACAGTAGGCTATAATGGGTCTACAAGACAAAGGTAACTCCAAAGGGAATATAGAAAGATATCCAAAAAGAATATGGAAAGCTATAAAGCGCCACTTGTGGTGAAATGATTTACATAAAAAGAAGGAATAGATTATAATGAGCATGCAAGGATTCTTTTAGAATCATAATGGTATTAGTGGCACATTACGATTTACAGTTACATCAGAAGGATGTAAAGACACATTCCTCAACGGGGATTTGTATGGAAAAGTTTACATGGCATAACTCAAAAGGTTTTATCGTGGAAGGAAAAGAACGTAAAGGGATGTTGCCTAAAGAAATTCATTTATGGATTAAAGCAAGATTCAAGACAGTGGTTCTTGAAGTTTGACAGTACAATAAGAAAGTTTGGGTTTTAAAGAGAATGTAGAGGACAATTGTATTTATGCAAAGTTTAAACATGGGAAATTTATTTTCCTAATCCTGCATGTGGGTAGCACCTTACTCGCTAGTTGTGGTGTTAATCTACTGTTGGAGAAGAAGCAGTTCTTGTCCTCAAGTTTCAATGAGAATAGTCTTGGTAAAGCATCATTTGTTCCAGGAATTGGAACTTACCGAGATAAAAGGAAAAGGGGTATTAGAACTATCTCAAGTGTATACTTAGAGAAGATTCTAAAGAAATAAAGTATATATGTAAATAAACCTGCGCCTGTTCCTATAGTCAAGGGTAATAGTTTTTGGAACTTTCAGTGTTCCAAGAATAAATGTGAGATCGATCAAATGGACGTTCTATATGCTTCAGCTGTTGGAAGCTTACTGAATGCTTATAAGCAAGAACTTACCCTGACACAGTTCATGTATCCGGGATGTTTTTGGCAGAAGTCCAGTCCAGATATAGATCACTGGAATGAAGTTGAGAATGTTTTGCAATTGTGCAAAGATTTATAGGCCTCATGGTGAGTAAGAAAGAATAAGTACTCTCAAATAGTTGTGGGTACAAAAGTTAAATTTTGACGAGATGTTTAGTGAAACCCACATAGTAGCTAACACTCGCGGTTGGAGTTTTATTGTGGAAAAGCTCCAAAGAAATAGTTGTGGTGTCATCAAAGATGCATACCCATGGTATAGCTTGTTATGAGGCTTAAGGACAGGCGAAATGGTTAAAAGAACTTACACCCGGAATTGATAATGGTATACAATAGCAAGAACCATTTAAGAAGTTCGCTCCTATAACAACGGGTCAAGTGTGCTGCCAAACACATTGACGTTAAAATTATACGTTGTGAAGGAGAAAGTTCAGAATCATACTGAAAGTATTGAACATAAAAGTAACAAGCAAGTGCTTGTGAATCCACGTACAAAAGGCTTACCACCCAGTGTGTTTAGAGAACACACAGTCGACATGGGTTTATGGTATAGCCTATGATTTCCGGACAATAAAGGGCCCAAAAGTTAAAGAATCTGTTTCAGAACAGAGACGTATATTGTAGTTGTTAAGTCTATCGGCGATTGACCGTGACGATGAAGCATGCTCTATGCACTAATCCGTAATAGAACAAATAAAAGTGAAAGAGATTAAAGTCAAAGTTTAAAGTTAAAGTATGAGTTGAGATCAAGGGGGGAATGTTGGAATTGATCTTATCCGTCTTGACCCAACGGTCGAGATGGACCCCTTGACCGCGTCCTGATCGGGGACGTCCAGCCATCTAGTGGCTGGTGGGCCCCCGTCGCACAGTGGCTATAAAGAGGAGGTGGGGTAAACGGCTCAGGATATGAGGTTCACTGCCACCAGTCACCCCACCGTCCTAACCCTAATCCGATCTAGAGAGGGGGGCGCTGCCAACGGCGGGAAGCACCACCGGACCGCCGTAGCTCCACCCCGCCAAGACTCCGCCACCTCTACACCGTCACTGCCACACCGCCACTGACACCGACACCATGGACTCCTCGAGGTCGTCCGCCAAGCCCGACGGTCTGTACCTCTCCCTTTCTCCTCTCTCACTCTCTCTGGATCCATGTGTTCTAGTTCTTTCATACCGAATGGAAGTCAAAATACCCACTGATCTACTCCTAGTCGATCCAAAAGAACTAACAGCTTGATGTAAATGTTCAACACAGCAAGGCTTAGGAGGAGATTGTTTATTGTATTCCTTGTGTGCTGATTAGACTTAGCATATTCGCACTTAGCATTTCTGGATAGTAGCTAATTAGGCAGTAGCTAATTAGTAGCACGATCAGTGCATGTATCAGCCTGATTGGAAGGCTTGTTTTAGTTTCCTTGTAATAGCTTATTTAAGCATAGCAATACAATTAGAAAAAGCTGCCAAGTTTGACAGCACCAAACGAGATCGTGTCCACTGTGTTCGCGTGAGTGTTGTGTGTGTGTTCCTGGCCGTGACCTTGCCGGCAGCGCTCTCTGCGTTGTCTCTCGGGCAAGTTCCAACAAGAACAAATGAAAGCAGGTTTCCTCAACATTAGCATTGCAAAGTACACAGGTGTAGTCTTCCAGAAACATGTTTTTTCTCCTTGAGAGATTTCTTGTGTTGAGTCTATCCCTGAGAAGCCAGAAGAAAAATTTATGCTTACCCAGATTACTAGCAGACCACAGCCAATTGGACAATGGAGAAGCCTGTTGTGAACCACAGCCAATTGAACGAGAAGCCTGTTGTGAACCAACAATCTCTTTGTAGGCTTTCTTGGATGAATAGTTGCTTGATCCCCAATTATATATCCACTGATCTTCTTGATCATTGCCATAGTTACCTTGCTGAATAATATCTTGCAGGTCACTTAACTGTTCTGAGGCTTGCATAGAGAGGGGTAGGAAAAAAATAGTGTGGACTTCTTTCTCAAGGAAGAAGCTGACTGAACATTTTGGTTTCCTAGTGAAGGAGAAGAGCTGGGGAAATTTTTCTTTCAGAGGTTTATCAAGCCAGGTGTCAGACCACATCATGACTGAATTGCCTTTGTTTGGTAGGCACTTGGAGATGCCTCTGAAGGTTTCAGAGAGCTTCAAGAGGTCTTTCCACCAAAAGGAGCCAATGGGGCTTCTAGCATGAGGTGGAGTGTTGTTGTTTGCATAAAGTTTACTCCAAGTTAATTTGACCCAAGGAATGTCTGCATGGTTATAAAATCTGTCCAGGTGTTTGATCAAGAGGGCTGATTTCTGAGCTTTGATGTCAATTATACCAAGACCACCTTCCTTCTTTGATCTGCAGGCTGTCTCCCAAGCAGCTAAGCATGTTCCCTTTCTGTTGATATCTCCCCCACTCCAAAGACAATGCTTTCTATATCTGTCAACCCGTTTGATGATTTGTGGAGGGAGCTGGAGACTACACATATAGAAAGTAGGAAGAGATGTGAGAACAGAGTTCACTAGTATCAGCCTTCCTTGATTACTAAGCATTCTGCTAAACCCCGAGATCCTCCTTTCTATTCTGCATATGATAGGACTGAATTCCTGAATGGTGGGTCTTGTGGTCCCCAGAGGCAGGCCCAAGTATGTGAAAGACATGGTTTCAACTTTACAACCAAAGGTATTGGCCAAGTGCAAAGTAAATTCAGGGTTGGTGTTAATGGGCACCAAGTAAGTTTTTCTGAAATTGACATGTAGCCCTGAAGAATCTGAAAAGGATCTCAGAAGACCCTTGAAATTAAATAACACTCTGGCATCCGCAGGAAGAATCACTTTGTATCATCACGCAGGAATAGAATAGAGCAAAAAGTAGAAAACTACAGGATTTGAAAACATAGGAATAGATACTTTGGGGTGTTTGGATTGCAGGAAAATAAAACTATCACATGTGCTCAAGAAAGCAAACTTGAGAAAACATTGTAGGAATTTTTCCATTAGGTTTCCTTTGATGCTTTTTTTCCTATGTTTTGTGAAGCAAGGTTAGCCTTTCCTTTGGAAAGGAATGCAGGTTTCCTTTGTTCCAAAGAGCAAGTTGAGAAAACTTAAAAAAAAGGGCGTAAGCTCCCGCTCTGTGCGGGGTCTGGGGAAGGGTGTCAGTGGCAAGCCTTACCCTCGCCTGTGCAATGCGAGGAGACCACGACTCGAACCCGGGACCTTCTGGTCACAGGCGGTAAAACTCTACCGCTTACACCAGGCCCGCCCGGAAAACTTTCCTATGAAATTTATTTCTTTGCTTTTCCTTTGGAAATCCTCCATTCCAAATAGGCCCTAAGTTAATTCCTGGTTCCTCAAAAGTCAAAACAGTGGAGGCAGTGTTAATCTCCCCGAGCCGCCTGTAGTGCTGCCTGAGCTGGCTCCACAATGTTTTGTGCTAGCATATACGTTCGCTTGTTAAGATTCTTCAAGCTTTCGATGATTTGATCATGTCTGCAAAAGACGATTTCCACAGTAAATCAGCAATAGTGCAGAGCAGGTTACTATTTTGTCTACAGAAATACTATTATTGGACCAAACCGTATCATGAAACGATTAAAGAAAATCGTCGAGAAAATCCTATCATAAAGCGGTAAGATTTGAATAGACTGTAATATGTGGTTAGCGTATGGTGAATATGGATGACAGAAGCAACTTACACATTAACGTGATTGACCGTCATGTTAAGAGTCCCTGACACTGAATCAATATTGGCATCCAGTTTTGAACTCTTGATCTTGTTCATTATCCACAATTCTGCCTCATCGCACCTCATGTTCAGCTTTTCCGCAAGAATGCTGTTCACCCCATATACATTGGGGGAAAGTTAGTATTTGATTTATTAATAGTAAAGTTACTGCAAGATATGAGATAAAAACGTATGAACAATATGTTCTTAGACTGAAACACAAGCCCAGTACATGATTTGCACTCTCTGAATGTTAGATTCAGTTAACAACATGCCATCGCTATCAAATCCCAACAGGTGTAGTCAACATTTCAACAATCTGATTGGTGGTATATAAATTAGAAGATCGTTTTTGTCTGATGAACAAAGCAAATGGTAGACACAGAACAAGCTGACTAACAGATGGCCTAAAATGTGCAGAGCAGCCTAGATTTAGTGGGTTGCTATGCTATGATTGTTACTGTTTCCATTTAATCGTTGTAATAGAATTTCATCAGTGATGCACAGTCTTTCAGAGGTGCTCATTGGGGTATGGTTTGTGTACGTGTATTTATAGGGGTGAGTGTGCATGCGTGTTGAGCGTTTGCGTCTGTACTTGTGTAATTCGCAAAAAAAGAAAAGAAAAGAATTTCATCTGTGACTATAAGTGAGTAGAAAAGCAGAAGCACCCACCTAATATCAATACACCGATGTGTGTGGCAGTAAGTCTCGAAAATAAACAGACGGGCATTTTCAAAGAACTCATCCCTGAAAGGAACAGTGATGGAATTTCCTTCATTGCACTTTCCCAAAAATGGATCGTTCAATATAACCTAGAAAAGGGAGCCATTAGAACACAAGAGAGGTAATATAGCAAATTCTACAAATATAAGAGTACAAGGTTGATTATTCAAGCAGCATATAAGACAGCAAATAATTGTAATATAAGATAATTCCACTGCCATCACATTTCCCTGTTGACAATTTAGATACAATTCATCATAAACTTTGGGTTGCATGGAAAATCATTTTAGCTCGCAATGAAATAAATTACAAAAGTAAAAAGCATTAGCAGATGGTGACTCACATAGTCGCATCATAAAGGGCTGTTCTGCTAACAAAAATAATATGTAATGCATGCGAAGTTCAATAAACAGAACGGCATAAATTCATATGCGTAGCATCAAACTAACCTGCTCACACACCATCAGTTTTTGTTGTGCACCATCAAAATCATATTTTACATACAAGCACTCCAGGAATTCAATTATGGGATCCTTGTAGCAATATTGCTCGTGCTGAATGACTTTAATCAACTCTTTAAGCATATTCCTTCGCCTTTTGTTCACAACAACTGCAATTGCTAGGTATCTCAGAAGATGGTGTGCATTTGTCTGAATAGCATTCAAGTACCTGGAAAAAGAAAGATGAAACAGCTGATATGACCTGGACATTATAGAAAAAAAGCTCCCATTGTTGAATTGGAAGGAAAGAATTTTCGAGCATTTTTTTTAAAAGGAACTTTGGAGAACATTAACACACATGTTTCAAACAAATCTTTTTTGGGTGAAGAACTGTTTATTTTTATCCAACTATGTATGTCAAATGATTAATTTGAGAATTGAGATTAATGATTCTATTTATGATAAACATGAAGCAATAATTATATTTAGTTAGAAGAACTGTCTGCCTGCATCGCAACTTTAAGCCATCAAAAAAAAATTATCCATGTCTTGCTCACTATCGATATCAGAATACTTTTACAGTGGTGTCAATAGTGATGTTGCTACAATGATATGGTTTTAACAGCTTTGCCATATAGGCTGAACTTTCTGTTGTGTGTTTTGCTTCTTTTTTTTTTTTGAAACAAAGGCAGGAGCTCTGCCGCTCAATTAAGACAGAAAGAATTTATGTACAAGAGGACTAGCCAACGGGATGCCAAAAAGCGCACCCGATAGGCTAACCAACCCACACGACGCAGCTGAGCACTAACACGGCACACTACCATGGGTCATCGTTGCCGAGCATGGCTGAAGACGCCAGCAGCTCCGACTTCTCATGGCAGTCCACACACAAGCCACCCACCAACGAGCCCGAAGCAAGCGGCCGCAACCGGTCATCGTTGCCAAGCTCAAGCACCCCGCAAAGAGCAGCTCCGACTTTCAGTCACGTCCACACGCCTCGCCTCCAGCGCTTGCCGACCCCTAGCAGACCCCAGCCTACGATGAAGGTGGGGGCTCGCTGCGTGTCATCGTTGCTGAGCCACGTCCCTGACGTAGCAGCTTCGACTTCTCGCAGCAAGACCCGCCTCCACGCGTCATCGAGGCGCCAAGAAGCGAAGAACAATCACCGAGGAGACATCGAGGCCACGACGAAATCCAAACGCGACGCCTTCAGGAAGGTAGCAATGCCGATGGCGCCACCGTCGCACGTCCAAAGTGGACCGGGCTTTCACCCTTGGATGATAGTGCTAGAGGGGATACACGACGCCCCCAACAGGGAAAGCGGCACCCACAGGTGTCGCCATCGCTAGGCTTTCGCCTAAGGAGTCCTCAAGCACGCAACGTCGGGCCAAGCAAGGCCCCTTGCCATCCATCACTTTGCCATCACGTTGTCCCGCCGCTCCCACAAGAACCCTTCAGAGGGGCTCGACGCGGCCGCGCACGCACGCAGCAGCAGCCGCCGCCAACGTCGGCCGTCCACCCTCCGGCCGGGCAACGCGAGAGCGGACTGACTCATTGCTTTCGAAACACCGCCGCCGCACGACCAACGCCTCGGCCGCCATTGCCGCCGGCTTTTGGCACGTCTTTGCCGACAATGCGACCGCCTCAAGCACCCCATCATCGCGCCGATGGCTAACCACCGCCTCACAAGATCGCATGCACGGACGGCGAGAGCCACATCGCAGCATTGTACATCATCTGGACGGACGCCAGCCCGACCGCCGCACCACCGCGCCTTCCCTTGCCACCTCCGGCGCCCTGCCCAAGCGCAGCCTGAGCAAGGGAGGGGACAGGAGGAGAGCACCCGAACAGCCCCGACCGCCGACCACACGACCACCGCGTCCCAGCCGCCGGAAGATGTGGGCAGGCGAGCTCGGCGGCCACCAGATCTGGCCACCGGCGACTGGATCCGGCCGACTAGCACGCGGATCCGCCCTCTCTGCCGCAGGAACGGCCACGCCAGCCACCGTCGGATGGGGCCTCGACGTTCGCAACAGCACCACTGGAGAGGGAAAAGCGCAGGGGAAGAAGGGGGGAAGGGGAAGAAGGCCCCGCCGCCGCCGTCCTTGCGGCCGCGCGGACACCCGGTGGCGCGCTCAAGCGGCGGCGAGGCTGGCGGAGCGGTGAGGGAGGGGCTACGGCGGGGGCGATGGGGTTCCGCCCGAGCCGCCCCAGGGAGCGACGCGGGGGAAGGGTTCCCCTCACCGATAGAAGAAGATCTGTGTTTTGCTTCTACTTTCTCCATATAGGCCTGCCACTTTTCTTTAAAAAAAAAATAGTTTTAACAGCACAATACAGGAAAGCTAACTGATTTTCAGCTTTGCTCTTAATAAACGAACCTGTCCTGGAAGAACAGATCAATGATCCCGTTTCTTCCATTTTCATGGTGAAAGAAGATAAAGAGACTCCAATGCATCAGCCATATCCTGTCCTGGAGCTGATTTAGAGGTGATGAGGAGTTCTGCCACAAAAACTCACATAAGAAACAAAGCAAACCATATAATGTAGCCTAACAACGAACACACTATCAAAAGATTTTTTTTTGAGAGAGGAAAACCTTTGAATCAATAATCTCTTTTAAGCGATTAAGCTCTTCCAGCGCAGCATCCCAGTTTCGATTTAGAATCTCTGATGCCAGCATCCCCCATAAAGCTCTTGCAGTCCTCTCACCGTTTGTGGACAGGACCCGATATTGGTTCAGGTAGGCCACGGCATCTGAGTAGCACCCGCACTCAAACTGAAATTTGGCATTATCATACAAAGCTTCAATCTGATCAGAGCCAATCTGCATTGTGCACAAAATAGTTCCATTAATTAATAATTAATCTGGTAGCAGACTAGCAGTGGCACACATAGCATGCCCAACTTTAACATTTCCACTAACATTTTTTTATCTTAAAAATTGGACGAGAGAGCACTGGCATACTCTAAAGTCTAAAGTGGGGATACAGGCACCGGGTTCAAGACCGGATGGTGACGCTAAATTCTAATCTTTAATATGGCTCCGGCATATTCTAATGCACTTCATGGCGCAATATGCCAGTATTGTTCCTTAACGTTTGACTACTTGACTTAATTAACATCCAAAACAAAGGGGAAAGTTTCTAGTGGTTCCTCAATTCAGAATTTCAGATTATCTTTGCAAAAAAATGTTAAGAACAATTCAGAATTTCAGATTATTCTAATCCACATGTCGTAGCACCTGGAAGCGCTCCTGGAGCATGCGGGCGTTGTACTGCTTGTCGGGCCTGAGCAGCTGCACGAGCTGCGGATCCCGCAGGAACGCGACGAGCGGCGAGGGGGCCTCCTGGAGCGCGACGTACCTGGCTACGACCTCGGCGCGGCGCGCGACCATGTCCTCGGGGACCTCGTCGTCATCGGTCCCGTGGTGGAGCGACTTGTGGATGGCCATGGCGTAGTCGACCATGTTGGTCCCGGCGAGGAGGCGGAGCTTGGCGGCCAGGACCTCCTCCTCCGGGTACAGCCCCCGCTCCTGCAGGAACTCCAGCAGCGGGAGCACCAGGTGGCGGTCCAGGTGGAGCGCCAGGCGCGGCGTCAGGTCGTGCTCCGCCATGGCTGAGCTGCGAGCAACAGCGATGGTGGCGGCGCGGGGATGGAATCGCCTGTGGGAGGAGAGCAGGAGTTGGTGGGAAAGGAGGGGCTTTCGTCAGTGGAGACTGGAGAGGGAGTGTAGGCAGGTCAAATTTGAATATTTGATGGTGGGTTGTCAACCCAAAGACGACACCCGCCACCACTAAAAACAGAGCAAAAAAAAAAACGTAGTCAGTAAAAACGCAAAGGTAGGATTAAAAGTGTTTACGGTCGTGAATCCGGGGCTTTTCATGTGTAAAAAGAGGAGTATTTCATTTTCCCCTAGCAGAGTAATTATTATCAGTAATGCTAGGAAGCGGACATCCGGGCAGCCAGACGCACTGCTGGTGGGCCGCGCGATGCCATGCTCGTCCACATACTCATTCCTATCCGCTCACTTGCTCCTATCTGCTCGCCTGTTGTCTCCAGCGCTCGGCCGCTGGCCCAGCCAGGCGCAGCGCCTGACCGCCTCCGAGGCGTAGCGCTCTGTCGCGGACCCTGCCAGGCCACTCCGGCGCGTCGCCGCCGCCATCCCCTGTGGCGCCTCCGTCCTCAGCCACGCCAAGCCCATCCTCCGCCACGTCCAGGGTGCGGTGGCCCAAGCCGCGGAGCAGGTGCACACAGGCCTCGCGCAGGTGCTCACCTAGGGCGCTGAGCAGGTCCTCGCCCAGAGGCGCCCCGACGAGCTCCATGCGTCGCGGCAGCGTCGAGCTCCGTGATTCGTCCAAGCAGCAAGGTGACATTACGCGCTGAAAATGCATGTTGCAAGAGTATGTTTCAAGTGTTTCACATGTTTCATCTGGATATTGCAATTGTTTCATGTGGATATTGCAAAAGTAGATCAGGATGTTGCATATGCTACAATGGTTGTATACGTATGTTGCAAACTTTTGTTCCCAATATTTCAGTTGTTTTTCCAGACGTATGTTGCAAGTGTGTTTATCTGAATGTTGCACGTGTTTCGCACATATGTTTGCATGTGTTTTATCTGGGTGTTGCATATATTTCGCAATGGCTTTTTCAAGCGTTTTCAGGTGTTTTTACAAGTGTTTCAGACGTATGTTTGCAAGTGTTTCAACTGTTTTCGAACGTATGTTGTAAATGTTTCATTTTGATGTTTTAAAAGTAGATCGGGTGTTACATCTCCCTCCTCGTCTTCTGCTGTCTCGCCTCGGTGTCTCCCCCTGTTCTTGATGCTGGTGATGTTCGGGTGACATGGGCCCTCGTGGGGACGGGTGGTGTGGGTGGGGCGAGTCGGTCGAGCGGCATAAAATCCGAGCGGGTGGGGTGTGCAGAACAAAGCAGGCGCGGGGCATGGGGAGCGGCGTCCGGACGTGGGCCTCGTGCCGGGCATCCGGGCACTGGTCTTTCCGAATTATTATTTATATGTTTCAAGACAATTATCTACTTCCTCCATCCTAAATTATAAGATAATTTTGCTTTTCTAGATACATTACTTTTACATATATATATATCTAAACATACAGTGCTACAAGTGCATACCGAAAGCTATGTATCTGGAAAGTCAACACGTCCTATAATTTTGGAATGGATGGAATACAAAATTACAACACGAGGGTAGCTTCTCTAGACAAAGAATTATTGTTATTTATATATTTCTTATTAAGTGGATGAAGCTTTTATGTTCCATTTGGTAAAGCCAAACAATCTTAAACAAACAAACAAGAACAGAATTGAAGAGACAAAGAAAGAAAGGAAGAAAATGTAACTGATGAACAAAAGAAACTACAATAGATTTTAGATGGACGCCTCCTCTAGTTCCTGTTCTAGTCCGATTCCTTCTCTGATTCCTATGCTTGGATCTGATTTCGCATCGGACGCGTTCCGTGAAGCGCCTTCATAAGAAAGGAGAAGGAACAGAAGCGAAGAGGCAGAGGAACACCACCGAAGAAAAACGAATCAGACCAGAGAGACTCCGGCTCATACGAGTTGCTACAGATTAGATGGACGCCTCCCCAATCGTGACGTGGATCCCCGTCGACGACATACCGCGCCGGCCGCCCGAATCAACAACGCCGCCGGCGGCGGCGGCGTCGAGGCTCAGCAGCACGTGGCCGTGGACATCCCGGGCACGGGCACACCTGAGGAGGACAAGTCTGCCGCAGATGGCCACCGCCACCGCCACGTCGCTGCCGACGACGACGGCGCCGCCGATATCGACGACTGTACCAGGGTCACGGGAACGCTTGTTGTGGGCACGCTGGCGGCTGGGTTCGTGGGTACCTACGTGTGGAGAGTCGCCACTAGTCTCACGTGGATCCAAGCGCTGCCGCTGCTGTTGCTGCCGCTGGTGATCATGATGCTCCTCGTGTTCTTCTTTATTATGTCAGCAGTCTCGGCCAAGGACGACGATGGTGCACCGCGGCTCGCTCTTGACGACGACGACACACCGCGAGCTCTCTTGGATCGCAAGGACGACGACCAAGGTAGCTAGGATCCATGGCTGGACGACGACACTGGGTGTCTAGTCTACGGGCCTTTCACGGAGTATTCTTTTCGTCATCAACCAATACAAAAAAAAAAGAGAAACATTCAAGTGGAAGATACGTTTCAAGACAATTGTCTGCAACACAAGGGTAGCTTCTCTAGACAACAAGAATTATTGTTCTTCTTTATATTTCTTATTTAAGTGGATGAAAGTTTTATGTTCTATTTGGAAAATGAGGTTGATTCCCAGCCAAAATCACATTGAGCCATTCAATTAGTATTGTTCTTCTTTATATATTGACTACATGTTTCCACATGGTTCTATCACCATCCCTACTAAATTTCACAAAATTAGGGAACTTCCAACCTTGTGGGAGAGCATCTTAACTGAAACTTGGAGCAATGTGGTTTTTTTATATATATACATGAGATGAGATTTAGCTTTTATCTCTATCCTATACGTTTTTTTCATATGTTAGTCTACTGTATGCTGTATTTTAAATAAACCATGCCCTCATCAAAGGTCATCACACAGGATATATGTGTGGTGTATAGTTACTAAGAGCACCTATATTTGGAGATGGTTTTGGTAAAACACTTTTAAACTACTAGGTAGCGCGCCCGTGCGTTGCTACAGGACATCTAAACTTTTATACTAAAAACACATGGATCACGTGATAAGATAACAATACTGTGAAATTAAATACCAACGTTAAAGTGACATTTAATTTAAAAACCAAAGTTCGTCAAATTAACACAGTCACGGAGAGCGCGGTGTCACAAACTCACAAACTCTACTGTATAGACCTTTCCGTGCTAACACTACGAGATATTTCATAATAATGCAAATCAAACAAGCAAAAAGCAATGCATATCTTGGTATTAAAGCATAGAATGAGATATAAGGTTCTTGGAGAGAGAGAGAGGGAGGGGGAGAAAGGGGAGGGAGTTAGGGAGGGAGAGGGAGAGATGTTATTTTAATTTGTCACTTAGCCATACAACGAAGCCTAAAGCACGAAGCCAAAAATCACACAAGCTAAGTGGAGGTGCAAAATCGTAACATTTGAACTTGCCTGACCAAAAGCTAACAGCAATAACTTGCAAGATTACTATATTCTCAACGCAATGAGTTCAGCTAGCCATCAATTTAACACTTTCAGAGATGATTTCTTTTACAAAACTGCATCCCATTCAAAAGAGACGCTATAATTATGGTAACTCAATCAAATATCATAAATGGTGATTCCCCTAAACAACATATAAGCCTTAAAGAGGAGTTATATCCTTCAATCTGAGAATACTCATTTTGTATCAATTAACTCCATCCTTTAAATCTACCAAAATATTTGATAATTTAGCAATAAATCATCGCAAGCACCTGACCTTTTTGCACATTCATTCAAACGCCCTCAGATCCACACCATGCCACATGAAAACTTTATCCGATTCACTCTGATTTTCGGCTAAACATCTAGCATCTTGATTGACAGAGGAACAACGAACGCACATGGCGGGCAAGGTCGAATTGGGAGAGGATGCTGTCAGCAGCCTTGATGGTCATGTCAATATTCTCGTGCGTCGTCTAGATTGCGTGCGTCCTCACCTGCAACCCCACCAAGTAGAGGACATGTAGATCTATTTCATAAAAGCTTATGAAACAAACAAAATCTAAATCTCTATTCTCTCCTAGCCGAATGTCTTCACGATGTGTCGAAGCAGGCTCCCCAATGAACTCCCAGTCTTGTCCAGTGTGAGAAGCAACATCAAACAACCTACCGTGAGGGCCGGTGTAAGTTATAGTTCGTTATTTGTCTTTGGATAGCTCAAAGATCCGAAATGCAATGGATCACTAAAAAGAAATGATACAGCAGTATTATGTGTGAGTTGCAATGTTATCTTGAATCAAGTCAATTTGAATGGATGATTTAGAGATGCGTCACTTCTTGGGAGCAATTTCTTATCAGTCATGTCTTAAATCAATTAGACTGCTTGGTTGTAAAGCTAGATATAATTCATGAAAAAGACACTAAACTGGAAGCAGCAGAACAAGGTTGTAAAGAACAGATGCTCCATATCTGTGGGCATAACATGAGCTGAAAATTTCGAAGTCTCCATTGCTTGGGATTAACACCTTCCTTTTTCAACTTCTGAATGAGCGGCGGCCCAAGTCTCTCCTCAGAAACAGCTGTGTAGTTGTTTGCCGAATGAAATGTAACATGAAAAACACAGCACACCGATTAAAGGGCAGTTCTACATCTAGTTGTTATAAGCATAATGAAAATAATGAAATTGTAAAGAAAAAAGTAGCAGCCTACGTGCTGGAGAGAAGTTAGTCTGCTAAAACCATCCCCTTAATTAGATTGATGGGATACTGCATTATTTGGGGGCAAAATTGATCCTTGGAGAGAAAAAGGACCAACTATTGCTGTTTTCCTATCACTGTTCTTATCTTGTGAGGCAGGATAAATGAAATAAACATATTCCGTTCTAATCTCCATGACAACGGTTCATACACAAAAGAAATAAATGAAAGGG